AGAGAATGAGGTGGACAAGACTACGCCCCGGCGTTTGTACATAAAAGGCGGTGCCTTTACACACGCACGCACACGCGAACGCAGTGCCCTTGCCGAAGACCTAAACAAACAAGGCGGAGAAGTGGTAAGCGCTGGCAGGAAAGGGAAAGGAAGTCAGGTGGAGGGGACGAATACTCGCATTTCCAGTTCTGCTCACGATGCTTTCTTCTTCTTCTTCTTCTTCTTCTTCTTCTTCTTCTTCTTCTTCTTCCTCCTCCTCCTCCTCCTCCTCCCCTTCTTCCTCTTCTTCTTCTTCTTCTTCTTCTTCTTCTTCTTCTTCTTCTTTTTCTTTGCCTTTAATCGCCTGGTCTTGTTTTTTCCACCTTTTGCAGAACATGGTGACGATCCGTTGTCAGTCAGCACTGTCGATAGTTGATAATCGTGCTAGATTATGAACATCGTCATGTGGCTCTTTTCATAGTTTGGGAGGCGACTGAATTGATGGGTGGTCCGCGTTACGGTTTATTTGAATTTGTCCAAGGAGCCAAAACCTGTGTGAAGAAGTAAGTCGATAGTGGGGCAAGTTGGACAATTGTAAACAACGAGGACAGGCTTGGCCCCACAGATAGCCTTAGTTTCGTTGTCCAGGGCGATAAGGTGTTCAATCAGGGCGATCACGACACTGAAAACTTGCTCATGGCGCGGACGAGTGAGGAAGGGCTGCGCGTCAATCGTGGTATCTAACTGCATCAGACCAACGTTGGTCTGGAGGTTTTGATTGTTTCTGCAATCTTTTTTGCGGGGTCTAGTCAGGGGGTACAAATAGAAGGGATAACAGATCGCTCCACGCCCTTGCTCAGTCGGTGGTTGTTCCGCACGGCCCACCGCACCCACCTTTTGTCTGCGTGTGCCACACACATGACCTAGGCCCTCCATATGGACACACAAGGATTTAACGCTAAAGGGGATGGACCGCTCGGATCTCACATGCAGCAGGAGATCCACACAGAGGAAGGAAACAAAGAGCGGACTTCCAACTTACATGAGAGAGGTCGGTTATGTAGAATGTTGGTGGTGTTCAGTGTAGGGCATGAGCTGATGGGAGAATTTGTGATGATGCCGTCATGTCTGCGGTGATTTACCGCAGGTTTACATGAAGGCGCATGTGGATGAATAGGCCCATGCAATGGCTGAATATGCGGGGACAATGCAGACATTTGAGGCGATGGCATCTGATGTGTGTTGGGGTTCCAGGTCCTTGTTCGCCAGTGTCCCTAAAACGGGTCGCGCTGTAAATGCGCTGGACCAACACAGGGACTAGATCAGGCTCGGCTGCCGTTAGTATGAACACGCACCCATGACAGATGTCAGCATTTAAATTGGACGGCACACCCAGGTTCAGGCTTACGACACAATACTTGGGATCAGGGCCACTCCTTATTTGTTTTGTGGTAATAACATTCTGGTGAGTGTGTGTTATGGAGCAGGAGGTGAAGGCACACACAGGGGTGAGTTTTCGCCCTGCCAGTCACCTGCACCCGCTCTCGCTTCCAGTTTCTTGATTCCGTCTTGACACCGAGACCAGATGGGGGAGGAGGAGATAATCTGGCAGATGCCACGCATGTCCACTATTACCTTGAACTGTCACACGCGTAAGTGACCGTCCATGTTCCCACTCTGCTGTGGAGCAAAAGATGGATATCGTCGGTCACGACGGCCGGACTGTCGCTTCACGAGTCTCTGTGTGCGATGCATTCCCCAGTGACCAACCAGGCTGAGGGGTGAGATTAATGTGTGGTGACATTGTGGGTAGGATAGGCCGAGAGGTGGTGGTGGTGGTGGTGGTGGTGGTGGTGGTGGTGGTGGTGGTGGTGGTGGTGGATGGGGAGTTAACTGGGCTGGGGATGGAAAAGTTGGCAGATTGTAAGGTACGCTAGGGGTATTGATATTGCGGCGAATTCTGCCGTTGTGGATACTCGTTTGACCGAATAGGCTCATGCGATGAGTGGATGTGCTTTAACAATGCGGAGAATGAAGGCGGATATGGCGAATTTCTGCTTTTCTACTGGAACTGGGTGTCAAGTCAGGGGCACTCATACACTAACAATTGGTCGCACCATGCAAATGATGGCTGCTCCTCGCTGTTCCTACCTGTCACCCAACACTCATCGGTGGCTCCTCGACGCTGGGCTCTGCCTACGGCCGCACTACACAAACGCCTCGATCGACAGGTTAAGTCAGATGAGGGTAACCGGTAGTGTCTCCCCGCCCGATGTTTCTGCTACCTTTTTCCATTCCCCTTCCAAATTTCCAAAAGTCCTACGGGGAGGCGACGTGCAACCCCAGATGCGACCCAAGTTAACAGGAATTGTTCTTCCACTAAGCAAAGTTGGGACCCATAGTGGAGTTCGGCAGACGTTTGGGGTGCTCAAACAGCCATATTTAGGAACAGAACTCCGTAACCCCTCTCGGGAGGGGGGTAGAACAGGTGCCTCAAACAAATGCTGGGAAATCCCGCCATTCACAGGCATGCTGCGACTCGTAGATGTAAAAAGAACGATCAGAAAACACAAAAAACAACAACCCCTGTTCCACTCTACCGATTGCAAAGCGACTCTAGTAACCTGGTATGTTCGTTCCCTCTTATAAAATCCAAGAAACAACCGGTCGAAGGGAGGACGAGGTAGTTAATAAAAAACTGCGCGTTATATGGTGGACATCGCTGATCTCAGCCGGACTTGCTTAGTCGAACAAGGCCAGCTGAAGGAGGTGGGTGCCGGCTGCACCTTCGTCTGGGTTGGATGCCCAAACGCAGGGCCACACGAAGCCGGCATCGCTTTTGTCATCCGGAACGACATGGTTGAACGACTGCTCTGTCTGTTGCAGTGCATCAACGACAGTCGCACGAGCCTACGTCTCTTTTCGGGAACTCGATTCGCCACCATCATCAGTGTCTACGTTTCTCCCAATGGCCATCTCCGACGAGTTGAATAACAAATTCTACGAGGACCCGCACGCCCTCCTGGCGACTGTCCCGAAAGTGGACAAGCTGGTTTTCCCCGGTGAATTCAAAGTTTTGTGTCGGGACAGGCAAACTGGCTGGGGAGAGGAGGAGGATAGGGAGAGCTGGATCCGCATGACACCAGCCTCCTCCTTCTGCGAACCTGCGCAGAACACCGTCTCTCCTCTTCACGAACACCTTCTTCCGTATTTCGACACGAGAGGAGACAATCTGGATGCACCCCTGGATCGTGACGCTGGCAGCTGCTGGACCACGTTCTCATCCGATGGCAAGATTAAAAGGGCCTGCTGGTGACGAAGGCGACCTGTGACGCTGGCGGCTGGCAGGATCACCACCTCGTCATCCCCATGATGAGGGTCCCATTGCAATCTCACAGGAGACAATAACAGGGTAAGCGACCGCTAGGCAAGTTAAATACTGTTCTGTTGAATGTTTATGTTGACTGCTTACATTTCAACGATCAGTTAGCCCAACACCTGGAAGAACTGCCGGTCTCGGTGGGTAACCCCATCGTGGCGACATAGTGATGTCAACTGAGGAACATCATTCAATCCGCCGACCTGTATGTCCTCGGACGCGCACTTCGTCAACATAAGGACCGGTTGGACGCCAACGACGTAGACATCAGCAACCAACTCGCCGACAATAAGAGGCTGCACAAGGCCTACATTGACCACTGGACCGACGCAACCAATGCAGCCTTCTTCTTCCCATGTCGCCGCCTTCTGCAGCAACGACTACAGGAGACGTAGGACGCCTGGGTGACGTGCAGGATCGAGGAAATTCAGGTGCATGCTCACCGCAATTAAACGAATAATTGCGCCTCGATCAAGGTGGTTGACGGCCCGACAGCCAAAGGAATCGTTCCGCTTCTCAGATCCGATGGAATAACACTCCTGACAGAGAAGTCAACAATGCTGAACCACTAAGCCGACGACTACAGAAGTGTCCTCAACCGTCCATCAACAATCTCCGACGCCGCCATTGGCCGACTTTCTTCAGTCGAAACCAACAACGACCTTCCATAAACAGTCAGAGCCGACCATCTCGAGGGGAGACATTTCCCAGAAAACCATTGTAACTTTCGACGCCATCGCGGAACCATCGAAGTGGTCTTTGACGGTGTCCAGCTGCAGAAAAAATGCCAGGAAATGCGGGCCCACCTCTGCATTACCTTTGTGAATCCGGTGAAAAGCCTCGACACGGTGATTTGCAATGGATTCTGGAAAAGCATACAGAAATCCGAATGTCCTGAGCGATTCGTACACATAGTACGACTGGATGATGGCGCGCGACCTGGACATCAGGACAGTCTCAGGAGCATTAGCTGTGCCAAACGGTATGAACAGTGCTGTGTACTCGCCCCCACTATTTTCAATATTATGCCATGCCGCTGGACGCTTATCGTGATGAGCGCTACGTGATCCGCGTCGTCTTCTAGACCAATGGCAAACTTCTCAATTGATAGAGGGACGCTCACCGATCGTTCTTACGGAACTCACTCGCCCGTTGTGCCTTCCTCTCTCTCTCTCTCTCTCTCTCTCTCTCTCTCTCGAGCCCAACCTGCAGCCGCACAGCGGCGCATGATATAGGCAGAACGTTATTACCGATAAAGACAAGGGAGATTGGAATGGTCATTTTGGCTTATTAGACGTTGTCAGCGGGATCCAGCCTCAGGTGTTCCACACTTCGGGGTTGGGTATGACTGGATAACAACAGCTAGTAAGCCGGAAGTGGCTATTCCAGTCTCCCTTGCCTTTGTCGGTTACAACAGCCTGCCAACTTCTCACTTACCGAAACATGCAGGTTCCAAGGCACTACTACTATGCATGATCTGCTCTTAATGGACGATTTCGCGCTTAACACCAGAACAGAAGCAGTCAAGCAATGAAGTATGGAACTCTTCGGCCACCGCTGCGCCAAATTCGGGCTGGCCATCAACACGGACGAAACAGGGGTTGCACCTCCACCGCCGCCCAACGCTCCATGCAGTCAATGGGACCCCAGTGAAAAGCAGGGACAACTTCGCCTATCTAGGCAGCACATTTTCCCGCGGAACAGAATCCCTGTCATGGGAGTTTTTGAAAGGATTGGGATCTTCAGCATTCACGCTATGCTGAGGCATCTGCAACTACGACGAGCGCCTACCGGAACGTCCCTTGCCCTGTCAACGTGTTTGCACTGACAGTGAATAGCTTGCACGCTGATCGGCCTCGTTGAGCCTCCCGGACCCAATGCACTAATGTTGCCCTAGTCATAACTGCTGTTTTCGCAAATGCCCTATTCTAACCCCCACGGTGTCCACAACGACGAACAGCATAACCACCGACCATCGCAATCTTGGTTCCTCGCCGCCGTTGATCATCACTACTGCCATCACCCCTCCAACAGCCTGCCCGGCGACGACGACCACGTCCTCTCCCCCTCCTGTCACCGACTATAACGCTGCCGTCGGTTAGTCACTCACTACCATCGCCATCCCCACCACCAGCGATGTAGACTCGGTCCAAATCTGTCCTCATCGCGATCGCACATTCTTCCCAGGCATCGGTCTAGTCGACCACTTACGAATTCATTGAATTGGAACCGGCGTAACAGTTTCAGGTACCCCAACATACACCCACCGCATCCGCCTTCATTGCGAACACTGTCCGCGCATTCCATTCCCACATGGGCCTATTCGGTTATATGCATATCCAAAACGGCGGACTTCACCGCAATATTGACATACCTAGCACATCTTGCACACCTCAATCTCTCTCATTCGCAACCCAATTAACTGCCATCCGTCAGTGCAGTTCGCCTAAAAAGGATTAAAACGTCAACCGTCTTGAAGTCTCACAACGTGCCCCTGTGCGTACTGCCGCCGCCCATTCATCTCACACACCAGCGTAGTTCGACGCCTGCGAATGCACCGTCCAGATACTGGTCTGGAGTACCAACATACATCAGTTGTATTGCCCTCACGCATTAAGCCGTCGCGTGCGCCTTCATCAACCTCTGCAGTAAATCGCCACACACATGACCACATCAACACACATTGCCCCATCACCGCATACACCACAAATGAACACCTTCAACATCCCATGTCGCCCGACAGCGTCCACGTAGTTTGGAAGTGTTCTCTCCGGCTCCTTTTTTCATGTGACTCCTCTGCGGGGCCTTTTGTGTGAAATCCTGGTGTGTGCTTATGGGGGTCCAGGTTGTGTGTGCAGCACGCGCAGCCGACCTGTTCTCATTTCTACCAGCCACCTCTCCCAGTCTCCGCATTAGTTAACTGGCCGACTCTACGGACCCAGCGACTGGAGTAGACCCCCTCACACAGATCACTCGGGGAGACATGGGACAAACACTTGTACATGAGATCTGAGACCTCAGAGGCACATTTACTCTCTCTTGCCTCCGTTTCGCACCGGTTGCCTATCCGAGGCAATCCAACTACGAAGAAGGTTGAACGCGGTGACTGACGTGACGTGAAGGCCCAGTCTAACGCCATGAAAGCTACGTTAAGGAAGGAGCCATCTCAGCCCCACCCCAGCCTTGAGCAAGGGCGATTCAATCCGTCAGATTACAGTCCTTTAAGTTACGAATCTCGATCGGTTAAAGTAGTATAAAGCCATTTGCTTGTTGATAGAGAGGAAATGAGCTCTTAATCCGAGACCCATCGGCCTCGGTCTCTCGCTCTCTCCTCTACCAATGGGAAGCCTGAGTCAAACAGGAAGTAGCGACGTCGTGGTAGAATAATTGCTGGGATAGCCGCTCGTCAGCCATTACCACGTCGCATCTTCTCCATCGCATCAGCAGTCTGCAATTACTATAGGCACCCGCTCTTTCAAAGAACTGGGTGCCAGGCACTCGTTCCGGCCACTTCAGTATTATTCTTCAGTGGCAAATTAGATAGAAATTTTTTTAACTTTGGTGGTTTAGTTAACTTTTCCCGGTCTCTTTGCTGTCTTGAAAGGATGACAGTCCAGTATATTTTCAGGTTCTTGTTGAGCAGGATGTCTTGACGATTTCAAACTGAACTCTGTGGCCAGCCAAGGGTTTCAGTGACTCTGAAAATCCGACTTGTTAGA